GGAAGGGAGGGAAATGCACGGGACTATGGTGGTGGCACAGGGGTGATTTGGTGATGGGAAACCCGGGGGGAATTACAATCGAGATGAAAAAAAAAAATGTGCAAAATGATGTAAAAATAAACTTTGTAATAAAAAAAAATGAACACTAGCTACAACAAAACTGAAATTCACAATGGTCAAAAAAAAAATAAAAAGATTTCCTAGAAATGGTACTTATGCTGAGATCTGAAGGATGAAGACAAGAAAGACCAAGAAAGGGGGAAGGAAGTTCCAGAAAGGGAGGGAATAACAACAGAGACAGCCTTAGAGCAAGAGCATGATAGAAGCTATAAACACTTGGTATGTCTCCAATATTAAGAGTTAACAGTAATTAAAAAATAAGGCCATCTGGTAAGCCATATGGAAACATTACAACTATTCTGAAGACAAAGAAAAACCATGGATGGGTTTAAAGGCAGGAGAGGGGCAGAATCAGTTTATAATCTCTAGTTTTACATCAGAGATTGGACTAAGATAAAACAGGCTACTCAAGAGTCAGAAAAAGGAGAGAGACAGAAGATTGAACTCCTAGTTAGAATACTTTTGCTGTCATCCAGGGAAGAAATGACAGTAACCAGGAACTGGCTGAAGGCTATTCAGGAGACTGAACAGGCGTTGCTACGTGGTTGGATGTGTTAAGGTTAAGAGAGGGAGGAAAGAGAAAGAAAGGAATCATGGTAATACTCAGAAACCTAGCAGGGCTTTTAAAATGTGACTACAAGAATTTATATCTTGACTCTCATTTTTTCCTTTGCAACTGTGAATTCTGGTTTTAACTGCTTGTAAACCCAAATTTCAACATCTATGAAATGGAGGTATTAACCTCTACTTCATAGTTGTGGTAAGGTTAAATAAGAATTTATATAAAGAGAGCTCAATGTCTACTATGTGCAAGCTACCTAAGACAATGATAACTGCTATTATGATTATTAATCTGAAAGAATTATAAGTGGCTCACTTGCAGTTGATTTGGGAAACCTGATAGTAAAAGCAATCATTTGGAACCACCATCTAGGTAACTATTAGTATTCATCTACCAAAAGCTCCTTATGCCACCACTGTATTTAGATTTTAAGAGAAATAAGTCCTCAGTCTATGAAAATAGCTGAATACAATCAAACCAGGCCTCAAGGCTTCTTTAACCCTTTCGAGAGGTAAGATTCTGAGAGATCTTGCAGAATTTATTGTGCTCTTTTTCTCTTTTGCAATTAAAAGCCCAGTAAGATTATAGTCATTTGCAGTCATGAACAGGCTTTAGCAAAACAAGATCTCCCATTTCTACAAATGAGCTTAACTTACTTTATTCCACTGAGGTGCATAATGCTTAAAACAATGGTTGCTTTTATAAAGAAGAGAATAAAGAAATCCACCATCTCTGCCATAAATCTATGGGCCAAGGATGGAATAACATATTCTCTACCTGTAAATTTAAAAAAAACAAAGAGTTAGGAATATCAGTGATTCACATAAGCAAAGTAGGCAATAAATGGAGAACATGAAGTCAAGGTACACAACTAGCTAATAAAAATTTTCAGCACTTGCAGCACTTGACTTCATCAACAGTATATGCTAATAACAGCAGCACTATTCCACTACTTACTGAACTGTTTAAAGTCTGCTTTCACCCCTTTAATGTTTAAATATGATCTCACACACATTTAAGGTACTCCATACATTTCACCAGGGACTCAAATGAGAATCTAGATCTTGCAAGCCTATGACACAAAAGTAAACATTTTTTAGTAAAAATCAAGATTAAATATAGACCATCAGTACATAGGACATCCCTGTGTTCCTCAATTCATTTCACTTTCTAATAAATCCAATAATTTATTCAGAACTCTCTAAGTTCTGAATGGGATAAAATTCAGGCAGTAACTAGTTCTAGTTCCATATACCTGTGACTGAATAAGGTAAAAGATGCAAATAATAAACTAGAAGGTGTAACTAAGTCAAAGTATTGTAACCTCGTCCTATATTCATCAGCTCCTGCTCTATACGTAGCTGATAAACAATTATTACATTAATTATACATACTAGATTGTGAGGTTATCACAGACTCATTCTATAAACTCGCCAGCCTAGGTCTGGATTATTGCCAGCATTCCCAGTCAACCGTCCCCATGCTGGCCCCCCCAAATGGTTTGCCAACTGAGAATTACGCTCTGGAGCTCACTTTCTGGAGCGTGGGGCTCATGAGGAGCAAAGATGAATTTGCACGGGGAACCGATAAGTGGCAGCAGCAAGGGAATGGGGGGAGGGTGGGTGAGGTCTCACACTCGGGGAACCTAGGGCCGGGTAAAGACAGCTGAGGGACGCGGAGAACTGTCCAGCAGCAGCAGCAGCAGCAGCAGCAGCAGCAGCAGGTACAGAAGTGAAAACGCGCCACTCTACGTGCCCCGCACCCCGAGAGCTGGCTCCCGGCGACCCCCCAGCTCCGCTCCGCTCCGCCCCGCCCC